ATCTATTAAAGTTATATACAAAATAATTATAAGTAAAGAGTAATAATATAAGTGTACTTTTATACATACCACAAATTCATATAGCAAATCATTGAGTTCTATAAATGTCACTTACTTCTTTAGCGGGTCACTAGGACTACATTCAAACAGTTCAAAATACAGGTTAGCAGAATAAACAGAATACAATATTACAACAGGTTAGCCTTTTCACGTTTCAGTAGGTCCTTTCGACCGCAGTTCCTTATCTCAATTAACAATAATCTTGAACATGCAATTTATGTAAATGTCAAAACTGACAAGATATGTCATTGTCACAAAACTAATTTAAACTAACAGAACTAATATATTAAAATGTACGTAAATTAATTATGCAATTGTTACGTCGTGAGTGTCTAACGAAACAATAAGTATTTGAAGTGGTTTCATAGATGGAAATTTTGTGCGGAAGATTATATACAAAACCCTTTCAACTGTTAGTTGTGTCGAGCGAAATGCCCAAAGTTTGATATTTACCCATACCTTTTACTAACATCGTCCAGAGGACAAGCAGTGACCACAAGTTCTTGTGTATAGTTGCACTTTTTTGGAACTCCTCCTGGTTCGAAATGTTCATGAACAAAACCCCTACAACTGTTAGTTGTGTTGAGTGCGACGCCCAAAGTCTTGATATTTACCCATACCTTTTACTAGCATCGTCCAGAGGACAAGCAGTAACCACAAGTTCTTGTGTATAGTTCCATTTTTTCGGAACTCCTCTGGACTCGATATTTCCATCTCCAATCGCCTACAACTGTTAGTTCTGTCGAGTGCGACGACCAAAATATTCGCAAGTATTCACATGCCGCCAGCTATTCCTGAAATATCTAACTATACTCTAGGTGCAGATGGATTTACTCCTCAACAAGATGTGGAGGAAATAAGACAAATAGAAAGACAGTTGAAACGACGATTTCCCATTGGAGCACAGGTTTGTAATGCTCTGGAGAACTTCACCAAGGCGTTAGTTTCACTTCACTGCATGCGTGCACAAAAAGGCTCAATTATCGACATCTTTGGGAATGAGTCCGTTTTCGTCCATCTTCACAACTTTTGAACATATCTTCTCAAAATAAAGGCATCGTACTGCTCTGAAGCAAATCCTGAAGCAAATGTTCTCTGTTTAGGTTTCAGAACAAAGAATCATACAGGACTTTTTGAAACAGGTATGATCCTTCACAGGCCTTCATCATTTGAAGCTTTTTGTCCGTTCTTTGTCCGTATGGGAGCCGTACTATGTCTTTGTTAGTGGGGTCGCATGCAGGACCTCGGCTCCTAGATTTATTTCTGCAGTCACATCATTAGGATGAGCCCTCAGTGATATAGGAGAGACTCTGTTTCACTCTTCCAAACAGCGCAGGTCTACTTCTCTGTCTACTTACTTTATTTCTTCTGTAGTACAGTAAAACTATGCTGAAAAACTTTAATACTGGATTTGGTGGATAATCCAAGTGATATAATAATAACATACAGTATATAATTTCATGCAATCCTTGATTCCTGCCAGAGGACCTGCACAATTGGATTATCCACCAAACCCATCATCCCACATCAACCAAGTGAAGTGTAAATTTTTATCCCAAATCCTCCTCACCCACCCTCCAAACCCCTCCACTTCGCTGCAACTGACTGGAATCAAGATTAGAAATTAATTCTTCCGGCGTCTTGGTTTACTCATTAATTTTCCCTCCACAGAAATATTCAGAGAGGTCAATTATTACCGTACTTCAGATCATGTTACGACGAGGGGAAATGGCGCATCGCTTCCAACGAAAAGTCCTCTACAGAGTTCGTTAAGACAATGTTAACACTACCTGAACGTGTCTTTGAAAAAAATTACAAGTAAATATTACAAAAGAACTCTTAAAGTTGGGTAGTTAGTTCATTAACCATATATAGGCATAATCGGCTAGGGCGTCATGTTCATGCTTGTTGCCTCACAACAGTCAATTTTGTAAGCATAGAATGAAGAAAAGGTAACCAAGACTTTGCATTTTATATTAAAGTGATTGTTGTTGGGGTTCTTTATTAAAATGTATGAGTAAGTTAAAATATTTACAAAAAAGGGAAACCTATACATACTGATCAGTTTCAAACTACAACTAATACAACATGCTGTTTCTGACATTAGACGGTTTTAGATGACAAGACGCGGACGTCAAGAGGACGTGGATGTCGTCGTTTGGCGCCAACTATCGTCAGCTTCTAGTTTGCGACGTCGTCTTGGACGATTTCACGACGCGAAAATACAATTTTCACGTCTTCTCTAGAACGTCGCAGATTTTTGCTTCTTTTGAAAAAAATATGAGACTATGCATAATAAAAATCATCCTATTTTGTTCCCCATGTATTGTTTAATTATACTAGCTAAAGTTTTTCCATTGACAAGGTTGTTTTTCTTGTATTTCGCTAAATTTTAGACGAGTTGATTTTCGACAAATACTTTCGGTCGCCATAAACAAATCAACAAAACTGCAAGCATTGTTAATAACCACTTCAATACCGCT